ACGGCAAGGCACTCGGCTGATGTTGGTAGAAAATGGACACATGATTTCAGGTTGTCGGTTTTCAAAAGATTTGTCAGCCGCTGCTGTCGAAACTAATATAATGATGGCATTTGATGGAAAAATTCAGCATGGTACAGATATAGAACAGTTAACATCAGTACATTTCACTCTGTTTGCGCCAACATTAGCCCCTGGTCAGACATTGCATGGTGTTATCCTCCACAGATTATACGCACAAAAGCCAGTGTATGTACGACCTAGTGTCCAGCTGCTTAACATGGGAAATGCAACAAAGGTTGGAGAATTAGATTGCTACATGCTCATCATGTAAATAGTGTGCTTTTAAAAACTGATATGTTGTTTATTTACAGGAACCAGGCAGCAATTCTAGTGAAGGTAAAATACATAGATTGGGTAAAAGCAAGGGATCTTTCCACATTTGTCATAAGAGGGGATCAAGTGATTGTACACTAAAATAATGTAAAAAGTATTTTTTTAAATTCAAACAAACTTTTTTTACAATTGTTTTTTTGTGACAGTAATATGTCGAGGTATATCATTTTATATTTATAAGGGCGAATAGATGATGCTCATTGAACGGATCTAACAGGTTTTCGTTTTCCATGAATTTAAAGACACCAATGTATAGAGCAGAAAGAACCCGGTTTACTTCTGCCCACAACCGTTCTATCCTTTGGTTATGCACACTTCGCCCGGCAATGAAACTACCTCTATTCTCACCACGACGTGATATCATTAGCCGTGCTACGTCAACGTTTTCGACACCTCGATCTCCACGAACCCTCGAAGGCAAACCGAATTCATCAATCCCTTTTTTGAAAAGATCAACTACTGTCTGAGCTCTATTATCAGCGCAGCACCGTAGGTTAATGACTGCCCGACTAAACCCGTCGATGCAACCATGGATAACGAATCGCCAGGATATAAGCTTATGGTTTGAGTCAATATGCCAAAGAAAATTCGGCCCGGGAACGTTATAAACCCGTCTACAAATCGCATACCTCCTTCGCATATTTCTTCCAATAGTATCGATTCTCCGAAGACTTTCTCTGACCCTTTCTCTTTGGACATAGATCTTTCTAGCCCTTAAACTACCCCTGATATAACATTCTCCACTATATGGGGTAAGCCTTAAAATATCTCTTATCTGCCCATCTAAACTATCATCGGTGATGTCTGTAAAGCTAGCCTCAACTCCATATTCAATCCTTCTCCGGTAAATTGTTTGTTCTGATACACAAAGGAAGCTAGCTATACTTTTCCATTTAATTCCGGTATCTCGTAATTGCTCTATCTGTACTTTGGTTATATCAAAACAAGGCCTCCCTCCCTCCCGACTCGTTTCAGCATTTGGCAAATTTAAAGCGGTCGTATGTCGTCCAAATATAGTTCTCACTTATGACCTTACAGAACTGTCCACGTCAGGTGATATTCTTTCAGACAGCTCTGTAACTCTGCCAAGAAGCTCCTGAATAATTTCTCTATTGCTCATTTCTGTCATTTTGGTGAGAGCGATACAGTATAGATAGAAAATACAAAGTTACCAACTCGCCGAAATTTTGCATATAATTAATAACTGCTTTTGAAACAAACAAGTGTTCTTTAACTCAATACTTCATGTTGTTAGAGGAAAACTCGCGATAAAAAACTCGTCATATGAATCTCGTCATATAAAACTCGTCTTATAAATCTCGTCATATGAAACTCGTCATATAAAACTCGTCTTATAAATCTCGTCATACGAAACTCGTCATATAAAACTCGTCTTATAAATCTCGTCACAGTTTATAAAACAACTCGTCATATAAATCTCGTCATACACAACTCAACGATAATAATATAGTTTTCACACCGCATTATAGTAATTTCGAGTACCACTTTACGAATCTCGAATAGACTTATAGTAATTCTAATACGACTTATAAATCTCGATACACTTTTGGCAGGTTTGGCTTGCCATATTTTTGCTTATCACAAATTCTAGCCCAGATTACAATACGCTTAAGTACGAGTGCATATATAGAAAAACAAACAAAGGTGTTTTTGGCACGCGTTTTAATAAACAAAATGCTCCATGATCAAATAAATACACGTCACACAGACTGCCAAAAATTAACGTACTTGACGTCAAATTCATGCTAACTAAACAAGAAGTATATAGATGTTTTCAAGTTGAGTGCATGATCATTTTTTAAATATAGACCATAGTATAATTTTAGAATTTTGATATACATTTGTATGTATATTATAAGAGAGCCAGTAGTTTATCAGTCTATTTGACTGTTGTCTGTTACCCTCTTGAAATAAAGTTTTTGTACATACTTAAAGGACATTGGCAACGAAAATTTTTATGGTATATTTTTGAACCTTTGTGATGTCTAACAACTAAAATAGAAAAATTTTTTCTCAAAAATATTTTGTTGCTGAGATATTTGCAGCAAAAGTTTTATAAATTGCGCCATCTTGGATAAAATTTTGATAAAATTATCTCGAGCGGTAGTGACGTCATTGGCTGGTGAGCAGTCAAAACAACAACACAATGTACTTTGTGATTGACTGCGTTACAACACATTTAAAGCGTATTTTACGGGTTTTTTTTGCTGTAATGGATGACATACACGAAAATCAACCGGGTGAGATTCTTCCCTATCAATATGAACCTGAAGTGAAGGCCGAAACTGGTGAAGAAAGCGGTTCCGAACCAGAGAGTGAGCAGAGCGACTTGTCCTCGTCGGAGGATGAAATACATGCTGAATTTGAGAAAGCAAATGCTTAGCGCCTTCAAACTCTTAGTTGGTGTAAGTGTGGACATTGTACTTTGTCAAAAAAGGCAATCGAGTGTTTTCGTTGCCACGAAAAAGCGCTTGAATACGATGAGTATGAGGCTTTGCTAGGCCAAACAGAAACTCAAGGAGTAAATTGCTTGACAACACACCAAGAATTTAGGGACAATATGCTCTCAGAAAGTGTGTTAAAGATAGACGTGTGTCGGCATCTTGAAGAAAACTGGCCCCTGTCTGATGAGGATCTAGAGAGAATACACAAACTGTATCAATTAGTCGCATATCAAAGATGTTCTAGGTGGATTTTTCAAATTTTGGGGAAGAAACATCGAAGACCATTTCCTGCTTGTGTTTATGCTAGCACATGAAAACGCTTCGCGTCACCAGACGGACTTTATACACATTTTAAATACGCATGTTATCACGAAAGACCGTAAATTTAGTCTTAGACAGACGCTCTTTGATGTTCTTTGTTATGATCTGCAATTGCGATGCCATATCATTGTCAAAGGATTGTCACGAACTGCGCAAAAGCAAAATGCATGAGTGATCCACCCAAAACTTGTATTCATTCATAAGTTATAAAGTTAATCGAAAAGTGTACTTGTACATTGTGCACGCAAACACCAACGTAAAACATTACGGATAAACGAAACTCTACAGTCAAGAACAAAACATAGCGGCTTAGAGCTTATCACCTATATAAAACTACATAATCTTTCAAAGACTCTTATGTGTACAAATAATAAATTAAACGTATAACTCATTTGTTGGTCACAGGTTTGTATATGGGAAAATGAAATATTTCTATTGCACGAAATGTTCAGTGTATAAAACGCGCTTGTTGTTGTCTGGCCTTACACTTGGTATGTCGGCAAAACCTAGTTGTAAGATCTTCTAAAATAAACGTTTCTACGTCTTATAACGACTAAATATTGGAAAAGTATATAAGCGTGATAAACTACACAACTTTTGTTAATCTTAACAACCGCCGACTGTTGTTTTTGTTTTAAAATTCCAGTGAACAAATGTGCTATATATTATTATAATACTATTATTTTATGTTGTGTCATTCAGTGGATACCAGCCAATGACGTCAGTAATGTATTCCAGCATAATTTAGCATAAGGCCTTTTTTTCAAAATGGCGGATAAGGATTCAACTTTATGTCTAATTTTCTCAACAGCAAAATTCAAAAGAGACACGAAAACACGAAATTAAATATTCCATAGCTATCTATGATAAACTTATGAAAAAAAAATTTTCGTTGCCAATGTCCTTTAAACATATATACAAGGTTAAGTTATAATATCCGTTGAACTCAAAACACCTGGAGCAATATTTTTACCGCCATATTTGAATTTTAAATTCAAGAATAAAATATCTTTTTCTCTTGTGCAAATGTGACTGGATTTCTCGCTGGGGATTTCGTTTTTAACGGAACAACAAATTTTCGAAAAGATTTTTGACATTAAGAAGCAACATAAATAATGCTTTGTAAACACGAGGCTCGAGAGTTAAGACTTAAGAGCATCGGCAAAATTCATCACATAATTACAAAAACAAAATACGCTAACAAATTCGTACTTACTCCTTAAAAAAAACCCCAGCTAATCTTTATAATCTTCTTGTGAATGACGTCATGAAAAAGATCATTTCACACCGTGCTCTCCACAAGTTGGTCTTAAAATTCATAAGTAAAACAAACAATCTCATCTCAACCATTCTCAATTCTCAACTATGAACTTTTATAATACACTGGACACCAGTTCGTGGGCACAGATGCAATCAAAGTATCTAAGCACCTGCTTAAAGGCAAGTTAATAACAACTTACCACACAATAATCTGATCAGATATCATACGATAAGACTTTGTGCCTGCAAGGCCAGTGAAAGGTACTTCTCATAAAACCTCCAAATCAAAATACGCTTTGTGTGATAAATTAAATATTACATGATATGTCATCTTGCTATAATCGACATTTGACTGTCTCCATGACAAATATGCACAATGTTTAAATTATCTCCCCTGCAAAATCTCTAATCATCTTGTTTGAGAGAAAGTAGTAATGGAAAATGGGAAAAAAGACTTATCTGATATACACACGAAGAACAAAATCATTAAACTTATTTTTGAAGAGTCATTCAGAAGAGTCATTCATGAAGAATTATTCAATAAAAGCTACCATTGATCAAAATGACGGCATATGATGCAAACGAATTGCTAAGCCTAAAAGGACTTGGGTGAAGAATTGTGAAAACCCTCAATATTTAGCTCGGGATGAATGGATTAGAGGGTAGTTAGCGATCGTGTGAGCTGGTCTGTTAAGGACTCAAACTTTAAATTAGGAGTAAGTTATCGTATATGACGGTGGTGTGTATGCAAAATCATTGGAAACCATTCAAGAATAGCCTTTGAAACAGAGGTACGAGAGTCAGAAACACTGATTGTAATTACTTAACATTACTCACTATGTCTAACGATGGTAGATTAATTAAAATCATTTTGAAGAATTGAATATTAAAGAAATAGCAATATTCGTCTTGTGTACAAAGGTGTGGCTGTTTGTATTAGTTTCAGTGTTGATGACATTTTATACAACTATATCTTATACATTGATTACTGATATTTTCAACGTCTTTCTTATTAATCTCTCGTGTTTTGCATCATTTACATGATAATTTGGCTTATCAGAAAAATAAATTTCGTGGTATAATACATTTCATAAGTCAAAAGAAAGTTGTCAAACTCTGTTGGGGTGAAAACATACACTTTAAAAGATTATTGTTACTTTGCATAATTATTCAAAATGTGTTTTTAATATGTCAAAAGAAAAGTGTTTTTGTCATTGTGCGCCAAGACTCTTGAAAGAAGAACATCAGGTAAGAGAGTGATTACACAAAACATAAACTAATTTTAGTTAAAAAAATTTGTAAACAGAGACAAAAGTTTTACCATTATGTATGTGCATGCAATTCTCTATACATTGCTTATAATTTTCACAAATCCTTAATTCTACTCAAGTTACGGCAAACGTTGTCAATACATTCGCACAGACGGAAATTTCCTCTTGCAATTAATGCCGAATAAAATGTATTCTCAGTTGATTTATTTATACCTTTGATTGTAAATATTTTATTCTATTATATAACATGTTATGTCAAAGAAAATCGTTGTTGAGAAAAAATCTCATTTTGTACACTACAAAATGATGTCCTAGTCAATGTTACTATCAGCTACGAGCCAAAAAGCAAGCGATGTTTCGATTTTTTCTCAACTCACCTCGATGTGAGTGGCGGTTTGATACCATGCTACACAATGCATATCCAATTATATTTTCACGATACTAGCTAAGCTGTTTTCCAAAAATTGTTTGTTGATCATGTTGAAGAGTGATCAAGTGCGTACTTGGTTTGTTGATCGTTGCAAATTGTATCGGCAAGGACTTGTATTTGGTGTCAAATAATTAGAAACGTGAATGTGATGAATGTTTTTTAGTTCTATGCGATATCGAATTTTTGTTCCAACGTTTTATGGTCTAAATTGACATTAGCATTTTACCTCTTAACTGATGAAACTTTTCCTCATGCATCACAAGATTTTGATTTGGATGAAATTTTTGCATTAGTAATTTGAATGCTTTGCTTGCTGGTAAATGCATTTGATTTTACTGGGGTCATAATGTAGTTAAAAATGTTATATAGGTTTAAGCAAGGTTTGCGTCAGTTAACACTAAAAAATTAATGTTTCAAACGTTTTATTAAGTAACAAAGACTCATCGTGACAGATGAGTCAAATATCTGTCACTAATGACAAATGTTGTTCAAAACTTCCGCGCACACAAGAAACTTTTGTGGATCACACTTGTCACGAATAACAACTACGCGCGGCAAGTTCACCAGTGTGCGGCGGGCTTAACAATCTTCTATAAACATGCCGTAAATATGATACAAGATTTCCGGAAACCCACGCCAATTAAATCTGTAAACAAAATGTATGTGCACGACGATGAAATAACAACTTCAACACACACAATGCTTACTTGATTTTAGGGGGAACATACTCTGTCAATATCAAGTTCAAAGTGAAAGAAAAGCATCGCACCATATTATCTAGGGTCTCACTATGATAATCAAAAGGTATTTCCAAAACGTCTATCCTTCCTTTGTCTATGGATTCCTTATTCTTACAAGTTTGATGAAAGTACATCCAATGGTCAATGCTGGTGATTTGGGGAAAATGTGCAACTCGACTCAAACAAACCAGACAAATTGCACAAGGAATGAGACTGGTTCTCGTAATCAAAATGATGTAAGTTTATAAACAAAAACTCTATTGTATGTAATTACAAAAATCATTTTATTTGGTCTGATGAATTAATTTAAAGTCAATGAAATGTTTTGTTGACTGGAAAGAAATGCATTCAAAGAAATGAGGTAGGTGCAAAAAAATCTCATATTAAAAAAAGTCAAAAAGCCACAATAGTCTAACTGAAGCCATTGGGTAAAAGTCATCTTATTGAACAACCTTATAATTTTTGTATTTATTATTTCCTTTATACGATTTTTATGGCATTATCAGAAGTTGGTTTACGCCAAGCCTGAAACTGAATACGTTTAAAAGGAAAGATTTTTCTATCAAAAAACACGCGGAAATTTAGCGCTTTTATTTTAGATACAAACTTCTTCACAGTATAATGTGCAGTGATTTTAGAATTATTTGCAACATTTCCAATATTTATAAGACCACCATCAACTACAATAATTGTACCTCTTCATAATTTCTGTGAGTTATTTATTATCATATGCCCCATCTCGAAATCAAATAATCTAAAGTGTTCACAATATTTTAATACATGTCACGCAAAAAGAGACTTAGAATAAAAATCATATGATAAATAATCATATCAAATCCTCGTGTCAAGCGCAGAAGAAATGATTTCCGTTTCACAATTACTTTTGCGAAGTCTTTGTTGCTGTCCAACTTCTGTAAAAGTCTCCACATTCCCCCTTTCACTAGCACGTAATATGCAGCAAAGACTGCAGAAAACGGCAGTTCTGCGAGTTCGTATTTGAAATTTTTATAACTCATCCCCGAAGCCTTGAGGTGTATCCGCTTCTGAAATGCTTCCGTATTCTGTAATTCGTAACACTTGCTGAGTGCAAAACTTGCACACTTGCAGTGGAAAACTACGTCTAAAAGAAATGAAATAGACTGACAAGAGATAAAGCGTTGAATTAATGCATTTCTAAAATTCTTGCAATTTTCTTCTCCACCATTGAGAAATATGACAGTTTACAATGCATTTAAATTTCTTATATGTTTCATTGAAGAACAAACCCAAGAACAGTATCTCGTTTGGTTATGAAACATTAATAACAATAATGGTGGTCTCATTGCAACATATAATAAACATATATTTATGTATTTAATAAGAAACCGAAGAAAAGTTTCTCACTTCCTCAAGATATATTAATAACAACAATGGTGATCTCCACAGTTGGTGTCCTTACAAATGGTCTTCTTATTGTTGTTATTGTGAAGGATCCTTTAAACAAACTAAGACGAGGACCGTGGATTACCATCTTAAGCTTATCTATAGCTGACATCACTGCATCTTTGTCCCAATTCATGATTGTTGGATTGGGTAAATTGTTCGAGGTCAAACCATCAGAAGCTGTCATTTATTCTGTCCTTTTCTTTTGGATGTTTGGGGCTGCGGGCTCATTTTTTCACTTGACATCACTCACATGGCAAACTTACATAATTGCAAAGTATCCCATACGTAGCCGACAGATGTTGTCTACCAGGAAAATATACATATTATGCGTGACTGTTTGGTTGATTGCCATTGGCATGGCATTTGGTGAACTCACACCAATTTACAGCAAGAATAATGAACAGCCTATGTACACCTATATCACGGTATATGCTGTCTTGGAAATCGCTGTTTTACTTCAGATCATATTGAAGTGTTTCATACTTAATGTTGTATTGCAAAGTCGACAAGACACTAAAGTAAATGCTAAACAGCACAACACTAAACACTTTGAAATTGTAAAGGCAATCATTGTGCTGAATGTCTTATTACTGGTAACTGCATTTCCTTATTTTGTCGCCAAACAATTGGAGTTTTTTCAAAGGCTAGGAAAAATACAAGGTGAATTGGCTTGGCGTTTTTCTTACTACTACGAACCAGTTGCCATGGTGAATTTTGCTGTCAATCCAATTGTGTATGCACTGAGGCTTCCAGATTATCGAAACAGTATGAAGGCGCTGTTTAAAAAGACTAGAATTTTTTCCATTCAAAAACCAGGGCATTCCCTCTTTTCACTTCGTACTAGTGCTAGTAAACCTGTATGATAGATAATATGTTCTAAACTCAATTTGATTAAAAATGTACGAATAGTGCTAATAGTTTTTATTGGAAGGATAAATTCCAAAGTGACAAACAACTGTGTGGTAGAAAAAATTATAACGATTATTACTGCAATACTCATCACTTTTTTGATTCTACGTAACTTCAAAAGCGAGAGCAATAATTGTGAATACTTTAATGACACCATAAATTAAGTAAAGCACGTACATCAGGTACCTGGAAATATAGCAGCTTTGCTGAGATGAAAACCTTGAAAAAAAGAAGAAAGATTTGTTATTTTCGTCTTGGTATATTTGAAATGCCAGCGAAAAGTACGTATAGGAATTTGGGGGAGGGAGTAAGGCCAATATAAGCCTCTTGAGAGCTGAAATTAAATGTTTCTTTGCGCTATAACAACAATGCTACACTAACTTCCCCCTTCTTCTGGAGAATATTGCAACAAAAAAGGTGGGGCAAATTATCGTTTCAATCCGTTTACAGGAAATGAATTTTTACAATCACTCACGTATTTGGGATGTACATGTGAATCCACGACATGCATGTGGACGTCACGAGGCCAATTTAAAAAAAAGCGGATTCAAAAATATTGAGATACGTGTTGACGAGTCATAAACATTATACCGACTGTATGAATACAAGTGATCAAATTGCATTAAACCATTCAGTCAATGCCAATCATCCCAGAGACAAGAAATTAGAACAGTTGATTAAACTGTCTGAGATCTCACTATGGTACTCTCACGATATTTCCAAAACGTCTATGCTTCCTTTATTTACGGATTCCTTATTCTTACAAGTTTGATCTCAGTATATCCAATGACCAATACTGGCGATTTTTTGGAAACTTGCAATTCGACTCAACCAAATCATATAAATAACTCAAGGAATTCATCTGGTTTACGTAATCAAAGTGCTGTAAGTATATAATGTACTGCAGTTATTTTTTTCTACAGATCTTATCACTATCTCATAGTACAAACGTTAAACATGTATAGATACAATTAAGAACTAGGAGATGTTCAAACTTTAAAATGCGTACATTGGCGACAATGTGTTAGGCATAAAAAATTCTCAAGTTGCTTATACAAACCAGACTTCTAAAAAATGCTGAAAGTCCAGTTTCAAATATCAATCTTTTCGCAAAACGTTGAATGTTTGAAATCGCTCTCACTATTTATACGATTTTGAATAAGAATTAAGAGGCGCATGTCCAGATAAATAGTTCTCTATTTAACGATACATCAAGAATATAAAATTCAAACGTAGCGTCATCAAGTGCTTCTTCCAGGAAAAGATCCATCCACAATTGTAGATTTTTGAATGTGTCATGTAAATCAATTTCTCTAGTTGCTTCTAAATAGTCAGGACCTAACTTTCCTGACCTAAACGCATTACGTATAATGAAGTGCGCAGTTCAGTAGAGTGCCTTCACAGTAATGAGCGAAGAAAATTCATCAAGCAACTAGTTCATGATTCTCAGTGTACGACTGTAAAAATTATCATTTATCTATGTGCAATTATGAATGTATATGAAAACATTTGACGTCTTTTCCTCTTTCTTTATTTCATATGAAACCCATGAAGAGTTTTTCACTTGGCCAAGAAACATTAATAACAACGATGGTGGTCTCCACAATTAGTGTCCTAACAAATGGTCTTCTTATTGTTGTTATTGTGAAGGATCCTTTAAGCAAACTAAGACGAGGACCTTGGATTACAATCTTAAGCTTATCTATTGCTGATTTCACTGCATCTTTGTCCCAATTCATGATTGTTGGATTGGGTAAATTGTTCGAGGTCAAACCATCAGAAGCTGTCATTTATTCTGTCCTTTTCTTTTGGATGTTTGGGGCTGCGGGCTCATTTTTTCACTTGACATCACTCACATGGCAAAATTACATAATTGCAAAGTATCCCATACGTAGCCGACAGATGTTGTCTACCAGGAAAATATACATATTATGCGTGACTGTTTGGTTGATTGCCATTGTCATGGCATTTGGTGAACTCACACCAATTTACAGCAAGAATAACGAACAGCCTATGTACACCTATATCACGGTATATGCTGTCTTGGAAATCGCTGTTTTACTTCAGATCATATTGAAGTGTTTCATACTTAAGGTTGTATTGTAAAGTCGACAAGACACTAAAGTAAATGCTGAATAGCACAACACTAAACACTTTGAAATTGTAAAGGCAATCATTGTGCTGAATGTCTTATTACTGGTAACTGCATTTCCTTATTTTGTCGCCAAACAATTGGAGTTTTTTTCAAAGGCTAGGAAAAATACAAGGTGAATTGGCTTGGCGTTTTTCTTACTACTACGAACCAGTTGCCATGGTGAATTTTGCTGTCAATCCAATTGTGTATGCACTGAGGCTTCCAGATTATCGAAACAGTATGAAGGCGCTGTTTAAAAAGACTAGAATTTTTTCCATTCAAAAACCAGGGCATTCCCTCTTTTCACTTCGTACTAGTGCTAGTAAACCTGTATGATAGATAATATGTTCTAAACTCAATTTGATTAAAAATGTACGAATAGTGCTAATAGTTTTTATTGGAAGGATAAATTCCAAAGTGACAAACAACTGTGTGGTAGAAAAAATTATAACGATTATTACTGCAATACTCATCACTTTTTTGATTCTACGTAACTTCAAAAGCGAGAGCAATAATTGTGAATACTTTAATGACACCATAAATTAAGTAAAGCACGTACATCAGGTACCTGGAAATATAGCAGCTTTGCTGAGATGAAAACCTTGAAAAAAAGAAGAAAGATTTGTTATTTTCATCTTGGTATATTTGAAATGCCAGCGAAAAGTACGTATAGGAATTTGGGGGAGGGAGTAAGGCCAATATAAGCCTCTTGAGAGCTGAAATTAAATGTTTCTTTGCACTATAACAACAATGCTACACTAACTTCCCCCTTCTTCTGGAGAATATTGCAACAAAAAAGGTGGGGCCAATTATCGTTTCAATCCGTTTACAGGAAATGAATTTTTACAATCACTCACGTATTTGGGATGTACATGTGAATCCACGACATGCATGTGGACGTCACGAGGCCAATTTAAAAAAAAGCGGATTCAAAAATATTGAGATACGTGTTGACGAGTCATAAACATTATACCGACTGTATGAATACAAGTGATCAAATTGCATTAAACCATTCAGTCAATACCATTCATCCCAGAAACAAGAAATTAGAACAGTTGATTAAACTGTGTGAGATCTCACTATGGTACTCTCACGATATTTCCAAAACGTCTATGCTTCCTTTATTTACGGATTCCTTATTCTTACAAGTTTGATCTCAGTATATCCAATGACCAATACTGGTGATTTTTTGGAAACTTGCAATTCGACTCAACCAAATCATATAAATAACTCAAGGAATTCATCTGGTTTACGTAATCAAAGTGCTGTAAGTATATAATGTACTGCAGTTATTTTTTTCTACAGATCTTATCACTATCTCATAGTACAAACGTTAAACATGTATAGATACAATTAAGAACTAGGAGATGTTCAAACTTTAAAATGCGTACATTGGCGACAATGTGGTAGGCATAAAAAATTCTCAAGTTGCTTATACAAACCAGACTTCTAAAAAATGCTGAAAGTCCAGTTTCAAATATCAATCTTTTCGCAAAACGTTGAATGTTTGAAATCGCTCTCACTATTTATACGATTTTGAATAAGAATTAAGAGGCGCATGTCCAGATAAATAGTTCTCTATTTAACGATACATCAAGAATATAAAATTCAAACGTAGCGTCATCAAGTGCTTCTTCCAGGAAAAGATCCATCCACAATTGTAGATTTTTGAATGTGTCATGTAAATCAATTTCTCTAGTTGCTTCTAAATAGTCAGGACCTAACTTTCCTGACCTAAACGCATTACGTATAATGAAGTGCGCAGTTCAGTAGAGTGCCTTCACAGTAATGAGCGAAGAAAATTCATCAAGCAACTAGTTCATGATTCTCAGTGTACGACTGTAAAAATTATCATTTATCTATGTGCAATTATGAATGTATATGAAAACATTTGACGTCTTTTCCTCTTTCTTTATTTCATATGAAACCCATGAAGAGTTTTTCACTTGGCCAAGAAACATTAATAACAACGATGGTGGTCTCCACAATTAGTGTCCTAACAAATGGTCTTCTTATTGTTGTTATTGTGAAGGATCCTTTAAGCAAACTAAGACGAGGACCTTGGATTACAATCTTAAGCTTATCTATTGCTGATTTCACTGCATCTTTGTCCCAATTCATGATTGTTGGATTGGGTAGATTGTTCGAGGTCAAACCATCAGAAGCTGTCATTTATTCTGTCCTTTTCTTTTGGATGTTTGGGGCTGCGGGCTCATTTTTTCACTTGACATCACTCACATGGCAAACTTACATGATTGCAAAGTATCCCAAATACAAAAAACAAATGTTATCTACGAAGAAAATTTACATATTATGCGCCACAGTTTGGTTGATTGCCATTTGCATGGCATTTGCTGAAGTCACATCACTTTACATAAAAAAATTTGACCAGCTTATGTATATCTATATCACGGTATATGCTGTCTTGGAAATTGCTGTCTTGATCCAGATCATATTGAAGTGTTTCATACTTAAGGTTGTACTGCAAAGTCGACAAGACACTAAAGTAAATGCTAAACAGTACAACACTAAACACTTTGAAATTGTAAAGGCAATCATTGTGCTGAATGTCTTATTACTGGTAACTGCATTTCCTTATTTTGTCGCCAAACAAGTGGAGTTTTTTCAAAGGGTTGGAAAAATACAAGGTGAATTGGCTAAGAGTTTTTCTTACTACTACAAACCAGTTGCCATGGTGAATTTCGCTGTCAATCCAATTGTGTATGCACTGACGCTTCCCGTTTATCGAAACAGTATGAAGGCGTTGTTTAAAAAGACTAGAATTGTTTCCATCAAAAAACCAGGGCATTTAATCTTTTCATTTCGTACTAGTTCTAGTAAACCTGTATGATAGATAATATGTTCTAAACTCAATTTGATTAAAAATGTACGAATAGTGCTAATAGTTTTTATTGGAAGAATAAATTCTAAAACAACTGTGTGGTCAAAAAAATTATCCCGATTATTACTACAATACTTATCACTTTTTTGATTCTACGTAACTTCAAAAGCGAGAGCAATAATTGCGAATACTTTAATGAGACCATAAATTAAGTAAAGCACGTACATCAGGTACCTGGAAATATAGCAGCTTTGCTGAGATGAAAACCTTGAAAAAAAGAAGAAAGATTTGTTATTTTCATCTTGGTATATTTGAAATGCCAGCGAAAAATACGTATAGGAATTTGGGGGAGGGAGTAAGGCCAATATAAGCCTCTTGAGAGCTGAAATTAAATGTTTCTTTGCACTATAACAACAATGCTACACTAACTTCCCCCTTCTTCTGGAGAATATTGCAACAAAAAAGGTGGGGCCAATTATCGTTTCAATCCGTTTACAGGAAATGAATTTTTACAATCACTCACGTATTTGGGATGTACATGTGAATCCACGACATGCATGTGGACGTCACGAGGCCAATTTAAAAAAAAGCGGATTCAAAAATATCGAGATACGTGTTGACGGGTCATAAACATTATACCGACTGTATGAATACAAGTGATCAAATTGCATTAAACCATTCAGTCAATACCATTCATCCCAGAAACAAGAAATTAGAACAGTTGATTAAACTGTGTGAGATCTCACTATGGTACTCTCACGATATTTCCAAAACGTCTATCTTTCCTTTATTTACGGATTACTTATTCTTACAAGTTTGATCTCAGTATACCCAGTGACCAATACTGGTGATTTTTTGGAAACGCGCAATTCGACTCATTGTCTTATTACTGGTAACTGCATTTCCTTATTTTGTCGCCAAACAAGTGGAGTTTTTTCAAAGGGTTGGAAAAATACAAGGTGAATTGGCTAAGAGTTTTTCTTACTACTACAAACCATTTGCCATGGTGAATTTCGCTGTCAATCCAATTGTGTATGCACTGACGCTTCCCGTTTATCGAAACAGTATGAAGGCGTTGTTTAAAAAGACTAGAATTGTTTCCATCAAAAAACCAGGGCATTTAATCTTTTCATTTCGTACTAGTTCTAGTAAACCTGTATGATAGATAATATGTTCTAAACTCAATTTGATTAAAAATGTACGAATAGTGCTAATAGTTTTTATTGGAAGAATAAATTCTAAAACAACTGTGTGGTCAAAAAAATTATCCCGATTATTACTACAATACTTATCACTTTTTTGATTCTACGTAACTTCAAAAGCGAGAGCAATAATTGCGAATACTTTAATGAGACCATAAATTAAGTAAAGCACGTACATCAGGTACCTGGAAATATAGCAGCTTTGCTGAGATGAAAACCTTGAAAAAAAGAAGAAAGATTTGTTATTTTCATCTTGGTATATTTGAAATGCCAGCGAAAAATACGTATAGGAATTTGGGGGAGGGAGTAAGGCCAATATAAGCCTCTTGAGAGCTGAAATTAAATGTTTCTTTGCACTATAACAACAATGCTACACTAACTTCCCCCTTCTTCTGGAGAATATTGCAACAAAAAAGGTGGGGCCAATTATCGTTTCAATCCGTTTACAGGAAATGAATTTTTACAATCACTGACGTATAAGGGATGTACATGTGAATCCACCACATGCATGTGGACGTCACGAGGCCAATTTAAAAAAAAGCGGATTCAAAAATATCGAGATACCTGTTGACGGGTCATAAACATTATACCGACTGTATGAATACAAGTGATCAAATTGCATTAAACCATTCAGTCAATTCTAATCATCCCAGACACAAGAAATTAGAACAGTTGATTAAACTGTCTGAGATCTCACTATGGTACTCTCGCGATATTTCCAAAACGTCTATCTTTCCTTTATTTACGGATTCCTTATTCTTACAAGTTTGATCTCAGTATATCCAGTGACCAATACTGGTGATTTTTTGGAAACGCGCAATTCGACTCACTGTCTTATTACTGGTAACTGCATTTCCTTATTTTGTCGCCAAAGAAGTGGAGTTTTTTCAAAGGGTTGGAAAAATACAAGGTGAATTGGCTAAGAGTTTTTCTTACTACTACAAACCATTTGCCATGGTGAATTTCGCTGTCAATCCAATTGTGTATGCACTGACGCTTCCCGTTTATCGAAACAGTATGAAGGCGTTGTTTAAAAAGACTAGAATTGTTTCCATTCAAAAACCAGGGCATTCAATCTTTTCATTTCGTACTAGTTCTAGTAAACCTGTATGATAGATAATATGTTCTAAACTCAATTTGATTAAAAATGTACGAATAGTGCTAATAGTTTTTATTGGAAGAATAAATTCTAAAACAACTGTGTGGTCAAAAAAATTATCCCGATTATTACTACAATACTTATCACTTTTTTGATTCTACGTAACTTCAAAAGCGAGAGCAATAATTGCGAATACTTTAATGAGACCATAAATTAAGTAAAGCACGTACATCAGGTACCTGGAAATATAGCAGCTTTGCTGAGATGAAAACCTTGAAAAAAAGAAGAAAGATTTGTTATTTTCATCTTGGTATATTTGAAATGCCAGCGAAAAATACGTATAGGAATTTGGGGGAGGGAGTAAGGCCAATATAAGCCTCTTGAGAGCTTAAATTAAATGTTTCTTTGCAGTATAATAACAATGCTACACAAACTTCCCCCTTCTTCTGGAGAATATTGCAACAAAAAAGGTGGGGCCAATTATCGTTTCAATCCGTTTACAGGAAATGAATTTTTACAATCACTCACGTATAAGGGATGTACATGTGAATCCACGACATGCATGTGGACGTCACGAGGCCAATTTAAAAAAAAGCGGATTCAAAAATATCGAGATACGTGTTGACGGGTCATAAACATTATACCGACTGTATGAATACAAGTGATCAAATTGCATTAAACCATTCAGTCAATGCCAGTCATCCCAGAGACAAGAAATTAGAACAGTTGATTAAACTGTGTGAGATCTCACTATGGTACTCTCACGATATTTCCAAAACGTCTATCTTTCCTTTATTTACGGATTCCTTATTCTTACAAGTTTGATCTCAGTATATCCAGTGACCAATACTGGTGATTTTTTGGAAACGCGCAATTCGACTCACTGTCTTATTACTGGTAACTGCATTTCCTTATTTTGTCGCCAAACAAGTGGAGTTTTTTCAAAGGCTTACAAGGGGAATTGGCTAAGAGTTTTTCTTACTACTACAAACCAGTTGCCATGGTGAATTTCGCTGTCAATCCAATTGTGTATGCACTGACGCTTCCCGTTTATCGAAACAGTATGAAGGCGTTGTTTAAAAAGACTAGAATTGTTTCCATTCAAAAACCAGGGCATTCAATCTTTTCACTTCGTACTAGTGCTAGTAAACCTGTATGATAGATAATATGTTCTAAAATCAATTTGATGAAAAATGTACGAATAGTGCTAATAGTTTTTATTGGAAGAATAAATTCTAAAACAACTGTGTGGTCAAAAAAATTATCCCGATTATTACTACAATACTTATCACTTTTTTGATTCTACGTAACTTTAAAAGCGAGAGCAATAATTGTGAATACTTTAATGAGACCATTTGCGATTAAGAAACATTTGCGATGTAACTACATTCATCGTTCATAACTTTATGATTAATATATAAATTTTTTATTTGGGTATTGTATAGGTAATATTAGCATAGTTTTAAAGGGAAGATGAAAGAAAAAGAAACTATCATGACTTGTAGCGAGATTTAAACTGACTAAAATTTACAGCCAACTTTTTGACTTTTCTTTTCATGAGAAAGATCAGCAGTATAATACTTTTTTAACGGAACATATCATTAATCAAATAAACCTTGAACTTAGAGACGTTACAGATTTGCTTAATGCTTCGATAAAAAATTTGAAAGAAAAAATGAGTCTTGCTTGTTTGTTAAGTTTTCTATAGCTTGTTAAAAAAATGACAACAAACTTCTTTCAAATATCGGCTGCTACTTGGTGGTTATATTGGAAAACAAATACTTCGGTATAAACAGAACTTCGTTCCATCGCTCAAAGAGTAAGTTGGTCTGTTCAAAATAAAGAAAATGTGTACGCAGCTAACGTACAGTCGCAAGTGCACGGACAGCTTAAATACAGAATCCTTTCATCACAGGCATATGAGCCAAAAGAAACAATAACGATGAACCATCAAAATGAAATTTGCATAGTTTTTATTCTACTTGCGTTATGATGAAAAGTTTGCTTACACAAAAAATTCTTGTGATGACCCAAAGCACAAACTTTCATTGTGTGCTGAAACAGGAAATTTTGCTATAGCATTTATTAGTACGTTATTCTTAACATTGAACGAATTTATGTTTTGAAATATGACAAATTAATATACCTACAACAAAGACTTTGCTAAGAATTCTCAATAACATGAGACCAACCTGGGCCCTGGTAAAGCCATAACTTTTTAATACAACAAGACGTTCTGTACACGGATGAAATTTATTTTGGTGAGTGAATCAGTTCACTGCAATATTGAAGAAAGTAGAATTCAATACATCGCGTGCAGGGACACTTCGTCTCACTTTCTACATCAATATACAGCCAATTATCCATTTTCTTCTTTGTCAGTACTTCCTGTATACGTGAGAAGTTTGTGTACATCATCATGATGCCCAGCCCAAGTTTTGAAGTAGTCGGACGTAGCTGTTAAGCCACTTCGGAGGTCAACATCAACCCAGAAGAACATTTGTTTTGTCTGTTTCAAAACACCAGATACATACAGACGATCTTAATTTACCATACCATATAAGACATTTTATTTTGCTATCAGTTGAGTATTTTTAAGAAGAAGAGTTAAGAACGCATCACACGACGAACGCGAAAGTCGTTTTTTTATAACATCCAAAACTTATTATAATACGGCCAGCAGACGACAAAGAAGTTAGTCGTGGAGGTATATAATAATTATTATTTGTAATAGCAGGATTACGGCGTTTTACCAAACCCTGTGTTCGTTTGAACTGATAGTACGATTAATAAAACATTTCGACATGTGGTTTATCGAATCCTTTTAAACCAAATTTTAGTCATCGATTCATGTAATTACCAGACTTTGTACAATTCAAATTAGATTTTGTATAAGTAAATTATATTACTTTTTTAGACAGGTGGAACCCGGCGTACAATTCCTTAAATAAAATCAATTTCTGAGGTCACGCTATGGTACCTGTACAATATGTTTATAGATACGTTGTTTTTATATGTTTGTTGAATGTATATCCAGTGCCAGTGCCAGTGGTCAAAGCTAGTGACAATTCTATCAAAATGTGTAATTCGACTAAAACAGATCAAATAAATTGCTCAAGGAATTCCTCCGTTTCGCAAAATAATGGAAAAGTAAGTATTATATAAAAAGTATTATAAGTCATGAAAATAAACTTTGTTGACTGCAAAGAGAAATGCATTCAAAGAAATACATACAAGCATGCGAGAAAAACGTAAAGGCGTTTTCTCTTTTGTATTACACAACAACGTTACATGCAGTGATTTTATCATGAAATTTGACATTTTGAGAATAAGCAAAACTATTATGTGCAGTTCATTTAATTAGCATTTTGTGGCTTCAAGGTAAGCTGTAAAGATAAACATTGTTATCCATAGTTATTTGGCAAAATCAAATAATCGTATGATAAAACATGCATAAAACGATTTCACCATTATCTCCGAATACGAACGAAAATGACTTGATAATGTAAATATTCTATGCATATTTACAATATCAAGTCATTTTCACTTGCCTGCTTTCTTCAAGAGTTCAAGAGTACCAGGCAAATGACAATATCTGCATATATCTCATGCATATCAAGAACTCATTTATTTATATGTACCGAGATATGATGTTTACATCAATATATTCTCTGTGTAATGAATTAGGCAACTACATGATATTCAACATTGTTTGTTCCTCGTGAAATTGGAATTTTCATAGAAACAGCAAAGCTTGTGTTGGTTGCCTTGATATGAACAAAACATAAAAATTACAATATTCCTCAAATTATGTTTACTTTATGTAGTGGCGTAAAAGTAAGCCCGTATATTTGGTCTTGCTATGCGAATATATCACAGTTCACACACAGTGGAAACTGAAAAATCAGTTCCTACAAAAATAAATAATGGCAATGCTCTCAAACTCATATATAAGACTAAAACTTAAAAGCTTATGCAAAAGTCGATTAAAGTAAAACGACATCATTTTAAGTTTGGGCATCATTTGCAACATAAACATAAGCATAAGAAGAATTGACAGTTGATAATCTTTTGCAGTTATGCTCATGTTTATACTTTTGCCGAAAGTGAGAACCAGGATTTGAGCGTTATAATTTAGTTCCTCATCTAAAAAAAACAAATTTTTGTTTTTAAAAATATTGCAACATATAATAAACATATATTTATGTATTTAATATGAAACCGAAGAAAAGTTTCTCACTTCCTCAAGAAACATTAATAACAACAATGGTGATCTCCACAGTTGGTGTCCTAACAAATGGTCTTCTTATTGTTGTTATTGTGAAGGATCCTTTAAAAAAGCTAAGACGAGGACCGTGGATTACTATCTTAAGCTTATCTATAGCTGATTTCACTGCATCTTTGTCTCAATTCATGATTGTTGGATTGGGTAGATTGTTCGAGGTCAAACCATCAGAAGCTGTCACTTATTCTGTCCTTTTCTTTTGGATGTTTGGGGCTGCGGGCTCATTTTTTCACTTGACATCACTCACATGGCAAACTTACATGATTGCAAAGTATCCCAAATACAAACAACAAATGTTATCAACGAAGAAAATTTACATATTATGCGCCACAGTTTGGTTGATTGCCATTTGCATGGCATTTGGTGAACTCACATCAATTTACACCAAGAAAATTGAACAGCTTATGTACACCTATATCACAGTATATGCTGTCTTGGAAATCGCTGTTTTACTTCAGATCATATTGAAGTGTTTCATACTTAAGGTTGTATTGCAAAGTCGACAAGACACTAAAGTAAATGCTAAACAGTACAACACTAAACACTTTGAAATTGTAAAGACAATCATTGTGCTGAATGCCTTATTACTGGTAACTGCATTTCCTTATTTTGTCGCCAAACAAGTGGAATTTATTCAAAGGCTTGGAAAATACAAGGTGAATTGGCTTGGCGTTTTTCTTACTACTACGAACCAGTTGCCATGGTGAATTTTGCTGTCAATCCAATTGTGTATGCACTGAGGCTTCCAGATTACCGAAACAGTATGAAGGCGTTGTTTAAAAAGACTAGAACTGTTTCCATACAAAAACCAGGGAATTTAATCTTTTCATTTCGTACTAGTTCTAGTAAAGCTGTATGATAGATAATATGTTCTAAACTCAATTTGATTAAATATGTACGAATAGTGCTAATAGTTTTTATTGGAAGAATAAATTCCAAAGTGACAAACAACTGTGTGGTCAAAAAAAATTATAACGATTATCACTACAATACTCATCACTTTTTTGATTCTACGTAACTTCAAAAGCGAGAGCAATAATTGTGAATACTTTAATGAGACCATTTGCGATTAAGAAACATTTGCGATGTAACTACATTCATCATTCATAACTTTATGATTAATATATAAATTTTTTATCTGGGTATAGTATAGGTAATATTAGCATAGTTTTAAAGGGAAGATGAAAGAAAAAGAAACTATCATGATTTGTAGCGAGATTTAAACTGACTAAAATTTACAGCCAACTTTTTGATTTTTCTTTTCATGAGAAAGATCAGGAGTGTAATACTTTTTTAACGGTACATATAATTAATCAAATAAACCTTGAACTTAGAGACGTTACAGATTTGCTTAATGCTTCGATAAAAAATTTGGTGGTTACATTGGAAAACAAATACTTCGGTATAAACAGAACTTCGTTCCATCGCTCAAAGAGTAAGTTGATCTGTTCAAAATAAAGAAAATGTGTACGCAGCTAACGTACAGTTGCAAGTGCACGGACAGCTTAAATATAGAATCCTTTCAACACAGGCATATGAGCCAAAAGAAACAATAACGATGTACCATCAAAATAAAATTTTCATAGTTTTTATTCTACTTGCGTTATGATGAAAAGTTTGCTTACACAAAAAATTCTTGTGATGACCCAAAGCACAAACTTACATTGTGTGCTGAAACAGGAAATTTTGCTATAGCATTTATTAGTACGTTATTCTTAACATTGAACGAATTTATGTTTTAAAATATGACAAATCAAGATACCTACAACAAAGACTTTGCTAAGAATTCTCAATAACATGAGACCAACCTGGGCCCTGGTAAAGCCATAACTTTTTAATACAACAAGACGTTCTGTACACGGATGAAATTTATTTTGGTGAGTGAATCAGTTCACTGAAATATTGAAGAAAGTAGAATTCAATACATCGCGTGCAGGTATACTTCGTCTCACTTTCTACATCAATATACAGCCAATTATTCATTTTCTTCTTTGTCAGTACTTCTTGTATATGTGAGAAGTTTGTGTACAACATCATGATGCCCAGCCCAAGGTTTGAATTAGTCTGACGTAGCCGTTAAGCCACTTCGGAGGTCAACATCAACCCAGAAGAATATTTGTTTTGTTTGTTTCAAAACACCAGATACATACACGCGATCTTAATTTACCATACCATATAAGACATTTTATTTTGCTATCAGTTGAGTATTTGTGAGAAGAAGAGTTAAGAACGCATCACACGACGAACGCGAAAGTCTTTTTTTTATGACATCCAAAACTTATTGTAAGAAGGCCAGCAGACGACAAAGAAGTTAGTCTTGGAGGTATATAATAATTATTAATAGTTTTTATTGGAAGAATAAATTCCAAAGTGACAAACAACTGTGTGGTCAAAAAAATTATAACGATTATTACTACAATACTCATCACTTTTTTGATTCTACGTAACTTCAAAAGCGAGAGCAATAATTGTGAATACTTTAATGAGACCATAAATTAAGTAAAGCACGTACATCAGGTACCTGGAAATATAGCAGCTTTGCTGAGATGAAAACCTCGGAAAAAGAAGAAAGATTTGTTATTTTCATCTTGGTATATTTGAAATGCCAGCGAAAAGTACGTATAGGAATTTGGGGGAGGGAGTAAGGCCAATATAAGCCTCTTGAGAGCTGAAATTAAATGTTTCTCTGCACTATAATAACAATGCTACACAAACTATCCCCCTTCTTCTGGACAATATTGCAACAAAAAAGGTGGGGCCAATTATCCAATTATCAAAAAAAAGTTGGGGTCAATATTATATTAATATTGCAACAAAAAAGGTGGGGCCAATTATCGTTTCCACCCGTCTACAGGAAATGAATTCTTAAAATCACTCACGTTTATGGGATGTACATGTGAATCCACGACATGCATGTGGACGTCACGAGGCCAATTTAAAAAAAAGCGGATTCAAAAATATCGAGATACGTGTTGACGGGTCATAAACATTATACCGACTGTATGAACCATTCAGTCAATGCCAGTCATCCCAGAGACAAGAAATTAGAAGTTAGAACAGTTGATTAAACTGTGTGAGATCTCACTATGGTACTCTCACGATATTTCCAAAACGTCTATCCTTCCTTTATTTACGGATTCCTTATTCTTACAAGTTTGATCTCAGTATATCCAGTGATCAATACTGGTGATTTCTTGGAAACGCGCAATTCGACTCAACCAAATCATATAAATAACTCAAGGAATTCATCAGGTTTACGCAATCAAAGTGCTGTAAGTATATAATCTACTGCAGTTATTTTTTCTACAGATCTTATCACTATCTCATAGTACAAACGTTAAACATGTGTAGATACAATTAAGAACTAGGAGATGTTCAAACTTTAAAATGCGTATGTTGGCGACAATGTGGTAGGCATAAAAAAATTCTCAAGTTGCTTATACAAACCAGACTTCTAAAAAATGCTGAAAGTCCAGTTTCAAATATCAATCCTTTCACAAAACGTTGAATGTTTGAAATCGCTCTCACTATTTATACGATTTTGAATAAAACGTATGCGTCATCAAAGTGATTCTTACAGGAAAAGATCTATCCACAATTGTAGATTTTTGAATGTGTTATGTAAATCAATTTCTCTAGTTTCTTCAGTAGAGTGCCTTCACAGTAATGAGGGAAGAAAATTTATTAAGCAACTAGTTCATGATTCTCAGTGTACGACTGTAAAAATTACCATTTATCTATGTGCAATTATGAATGTATATGAAAACATTTGACGTTTTTTCCTCTTTCTATATTTCATATGAAGCCCATGAAGAGTTTTTCACTTGGCCAAGAAACATTAATAACAACGATGGTGGTCTCCACAATTGGTGTCCTAACAAATGGTTTTCTTGTTGTTGTTATTCTTGTAGATCCGCTTAACATACTAAAACAAGGAAGGTGGATTACAATCTTAAGCTTATCTATAGCTGATTTCACTGCATCTTTGTCTCAATTCATGATTGTTGGATTGGGTAGATTGTTCGAGGTCAAACCATCAGAAGCTGTCATTTATTCTGTCCTTTTCTTTTGGATGTTTGGGGCTGCGGGCTCATTTTTTCACTTGACATCACTCACATGGCAAACTTACATGATTGCAAAGTATCCCATACGTAGCCGACAGATGTTGTCTACCAGAAAAATATACATATTATGTGCGACTGTTTGGTCGATTGCCATTTGCGTGGCATTTGGTGAACTCACATCAATTTACAGCAAGAAAATTGAGCAGCTTATGTACACCTATATCACGCTATATGCTGTTTTGGAGATTGCTGTTTTGATCTTGGTCATTGGGAAGTGTTTAATACTTATAATAGTATGGCAAAATCGACAAAACACGACAGTAAATGCTAAACAGCACAATAGAAAACATCTGGAAATGGTAAAGACAACTATCTTGCTAAATATCCTATTGCTGGTAACTGCATTTCCTTATTTTGTCGCCAAACAAGTGGAGTTTATTCAAAGGCTAGGAAAAATACAAGGTGAATTGGCTTGGCGTTTTTCTTACTACTACAAACCAGTTGCCATGGTGAATTTTGCAGTCAATCCAATTGTGTATGCACTGAGGCTTCCCGATTATCGAAACAGTCTGAAGGCGTTGTTTAAAAAGAACAGTTATATTTCTACTGATACAGCACAGCAATTGACAACCTCGTTCCGTTCTGCTGATGAAACGATTGCTTTGTAGATAATATGCATTGATTAATATGCATTGATCATATATAACTTGATTACAAATATATATGATTATTTTTTTAATATAGGTAATAACATAAACTTTAGTGGAATTTGTAGTTATACTTTTGTGTAATTTTTAGTGTAATGTTTGTATTTGTAGCCAATTTTGCCTGCAACAAACTATTTTGATAACCACATCAAAACATAGTACAATATCGTATCTAATAATACGTTGTCCTCCTTGCTGCTTATTTACATCTTTAGGAAGAAATTCTCTACATTGAATTTAGCGTGAGCTGAAGCTTTGTGTAACAGGTAAAACGTGGCAGCTTTGTTGCATCGAAAATTTCACAAGAAAAAGCAAGTTGCCCTTATAGACTTAACTTCTTTCAAAATGGCAGAACGTTTTTCATTGATAAAACAGCATGGTCAGCAATCAGCATGTATTTGAATATTCAGGCAGAATCGTTTTTAATTATACTTTATAGTTTGCAAGAAAAGGTATGTTTAACAATCTATCAATATGTAGCATTTTATCTGCACTAGCTAAAAGAGGAAGGCAGAAATGAGCATAGTCTTAAAATTCACACATACACATTATATTTTCATACAATTATATTTGTATAATTTTCGTGTTTGATAGAATAAGCTGATAATAAACGAACAATGAACAATAAACTTTAATGAATACATTATTTATTGTCCATAAAGATTTTTGAACGTCTTCTTTGACACATTGTTGCCATAGAATAAACACATCTTTTTTTCATATGGTGACGCAGCTGACGCTTTTCCTTTTTGTTTTCCAGTTCAATTGGATTCTCCAAAGATTCGCCATTCAACCACAACCATTTTGGTTTTGCACAGCAGGAAGAAAAAAAACACAATATGAAGAAAAGAACAAGGCCATATTTCAACCCTTTCATACTTTACACAACAGCCCAAGAGAAGCTTGACGTCCAATTCTTCAAGTTTCAAAGTAGATTTACTGCCAGTACATCATTCCTATGGCACAGCTATATTTATACCATCAAGCATCAAGTGTTTTTAAACACAGACATCAAGCTTCTTAACAGCTTGAGTTTACTAAATGGATTCGGGCTGTTCTTAGTTTGGATAATACCTTTCAAAGTCTTTAAGCAACAAGAGAACACTTGACAGAAAAAAAATACAACTACCTCTCCCACAAGAGAAGTACTGGTACCACCACCACCACCTTTCATGCGAGAGAAGTACATGCACCACCAATATCCCCTTTACTGCAAGGGAAATACCAGCAGCACTACCACCCTCCTCGTAAGAGAAGTATTGGTACCACCAATACAACCCCCTTTCCAGCAAGAGAAATACAAGCACCACCACCAACCTCTCTCCCGCAGGAGAAGTACAAGCACCACCATCAACCTCTCTAACGCAGGAGAAGTACAAGCACCACCATCAACCTCTCTAACGCAGGAGAAGTACAAGCACCACCACCAACCTCTCTCCCGGAGGAGAAGTACAAGCACCACCATCAACCTCTCTAACGCAGGAGAAGTACAAGCACCACCATCAACCTCTCTAACGCAGGAGACGTACAAGCACCACCACCAACCTCTCTCTCGCAGGAGAAGTACAAACACCACCACCAACCTCTTTAACGCAGGAGAAGTACAAGCACCACCATCAACCTCTCTCCCGCAGGAGAAGTACAAACACCACCATCAACCTCTCTAACGCAGGAGAAGTACAAGCACAACCATCAACCTCTCTAATGCAGGAGAAATAGAAGCACCACCACCAACCTCTCTCCCGCAAGAGAAGTACAAACACCACCATCAACCTTTCTCCCGCAAGAGAAATACAAGCACCACCACCAACCCTTCTCCCGCAAGAGAGTACAAGCACCACCACCAACCCTTCTCTTGCAAGAGAAGTACTGTCACCTCTCCATCCTCTCCTGCGAAAGAATTACCAGCAACAGTAGCAATGACGTGAAGAGTTGAGCTCCAGTTATGTAATTCTGTAATGACTTAATAGAAATTTATGACAATCCTCCATACCCCTGTATCATTAGAAACTGGGCTTTAAACTTTAAGTACGAAGTTTTGAGCTTTTAAACGTCTTCACAGGGTTTAAACAATAAAAGAAATAAAAATGTCTTATTCTTTTACAAGTCACATATTTACACAATTCTCATCAATCCTAATGTATAGTTCTATAGACAAAAGTATTGTGGTAAAAAATATATTATCAATGTACAACAAAACGATATATTATCAATATCCAATAACAAAAACAATTTTACACAATTCTCATCAATCCTAATGTATAGTTCTATAGACAAAAATATTTTCGTAAAAAATATATTATCAATGTACAACAAAACGATATATTATTAATATCCAATATCAAAAACAATTTTACACAATTCTCATCAATCCTAATGTATAGTTCTATAGACAAAAGTATTTTGGTAAAAAATATATTATCAATGTACAACAAAACGATATATTATCAATATCCAATAACAAAAACAATTTTACACAATTCACATCAATCCTAATGTATAGTTCTATAGACAAAAGTATTTTGGTAAAAAATATATTATCAATATCCAATAACAAAAACAATTTTACAAAACGACACAAACATAAACTCGACATCATAAACAGTTTCAGAAAAGTTGTCAAAGAACACCTGTCATTTCTGCATATCACTTAATAACAAAAAAATTTGCGCGAAATAATAAACGCATTTTGTAATGATAATTAAAAATCTTTCATTTCTGATATAGCTTTTAGTGTAGCTAATATTAAAATCGGAACTGCTAAATAATTAAATTTTACTGATGCATTTACTCAAGTTTTCACCTGTTTTTACTTAAAACAAACTAGCTAACAACTTTATCATTATGAGCTATATATTCTAAATCCACTAAACTTTGGTTTCATTTAAAATATAAAATATGAAATAAAAATTTCTGTGCAGTAGTTATAAGGTTTATGGGTCTTCGAATACAATAATTCGCTATTGCGCAAAAGGAATATTTCGCATTATCCTGAAAATGAAAGTTTGGGTGTAAAACATTACACCGGAGTATAGGGAGACATAGAACGAGAACGGGATTTTCTATTTTCAAAGTTCTACTTTTATTTACAAGAGTCCTACCCGTAGAATAAACTATAATGTCAAAGGATAGTACAAAGTTTCAAACAACTTCGGCCTGTTTGACTTAATTTAAACCAGCCTTAAACATGTTTGGACATTTTTAGTTTGTTGATAACTTTCAGTCTTTCACAGCATAACTCTTTCATTTATAAGACTTTATACTTTTTAAATTGATAACATTTAATAAACCAAGTCATTCGCGCAGTCCAAATTGAGCCCCACATTCAATCTTTTTATGTTGTGAAATTTTAATTCATTTTAGATGGAAAACTGACTTAAATAAATTTGCTTAACAATCAGCTTATCAATTGTCCACTCGGGATAAAGACTAGTGATCACAATGATAACACAAAGTTGCATTGAAAGATAGAAGTTTGCTATTTTAACGCTGTTTTCTTGATTAGGTGTTGTTAAATGATGTATTTTAAGTGCTTTTCAATCAATGCATAACTTTGTCTGTCTTCCCAGATGAATGGAAAACAGCAAGAATTATACCTCTTTACAAAAATGGACACCGTAACTTGCCTGGAAACTATAGACCAATTTCAATTCTTCTAGTCGTCAGTAAAATCATTGAACGTATACTTTACGATCAACTCTACAACTACTTTTCTAAATCTGAAATCCTAAGTGATTGTCAATTTGGTTTCAGAAAATCACATTCAACAACAACTGCCTTAATTGACCGTACGAATGATTGGTACACAAACATGGATAAAAGGTTGCTCAACCTTGTAGTCCAAATTGATCTAAAAGAGGCTTTTGATACTGTTGACCACAAAATTTTATTAAGAAAACTTGAGTTGTATGGAATTAAAGGACAAGCCTACAACCTAATTGAATCCTATCTGTCAAAGCGAACTCAAAGATGCCAAATCAAAAATTTTATTTCATCCCAACAACTCCCCTAATGTGGAGTTCCCCAGGGCTCTATTCTAGGTCCGTTATTTTTCTTAATATATATAAATGACTTACCCTCATGCTTAGAGCAATGTAAACCAAAAATGTTTGCTGATGATACTAGCATAACGGCTTCAAATAATGATATAGTTGAACTAGAAAAGACAGTAAACTCTGACTTGAATAATCTGGAAAAGTGGTTGATAGCAAACAAACTTAGTTTGAATTCAACCAAGACAGAATATTTGATCATAGGCTCGAAACAAATGATCAAGAATGTTTTTACTTCTAATTTGCATATTGCAATTGGCAATTACGTTATAAATAGAATTTATGAGTACGAAAGTTTGGGTTTAATAATTGACCAACACTTATCTTGGAGGAGTAACACTGATAAAATTTGCAAAAAAGTAGCAGCCGGTATCTCCGCCCTTAGAAAATTAAAGCAATACACAGACAAACAAAACACTTATCTCTATTTATAATGCCCTGGTACATCCTTACTTCACATATTGCTGTGAAGTTTGGGGTGTATTGGGGGAAACTCAGTCCAAGAGACTACAAAAACTTCAAAATAGAGCTGCAAAAATTATCATAAGCATGGGCAATGATGTCGATTATTGTAACGCATTACAAGAATTAAAGTGGGAACCTCTTGAAATACTTAGAAAAAAAGCTAAAGCAAAGCTGATGTTTAAATTGTTAAAAAATGCTGGACCAAATTCACTTACTAGATTGTTTACCTATAAAAAAGACATCACTGATTACAATCTACGCAATATTACAAGTTGTCTAAATATGCCTAGTACTAACTCCTTGACGAAAAGCTTTGCGTATGATGGTGCTTCTGTTTGGAATTCAATTCCAGCAGGAATCAGAATTAGCAAAAGCGTGTCACTTTTTCAAAAGAAAATTGCTGCTTGCATTTTATGATTTAGTTTAACATGTAACAGATGGAATAAACCAAACTCTGTAAATATTTAAACTTCTCTTCTGTAGATAATTTATTTCTTAGTAAATTTTGTAATTGTTTTTGAACAAAAGCACGCCCCTTGTGGAAATCAACCCCAGTTGACAAGGCCAGCGTGTCAAAATAAAGATTTTCATTCATTCATTCATTCATTCATTCATTCATTCATTCATTTTCGATTGCCATAAGCCCATAACGAATAGCAATG